CCCCCCCCCCCCCCCCCCCCGCAACCTTCACCTGCTCCAGTGGCTTTTCAGGCAGCATCCATATACCAGTAACTTCTACATCAGCATTTCTGGCTTGAAGTCTGAAAACTTTGGGGGATTTGCATTCTCAGCATGTGGCCCATTTGTTCTTCCTCTTGAGTCACAGCAGGCTCTGATCAGAGCCAGATGTAGCCTGGCTCACACAGAGGCCTGTTGGGTACATCTCTTTATGGGGTAGCATGCTGCTGGGTCTCCTATTACTTTCAGAAGGCACCAGCAGTGTTGAAAGTGGCTTCCCCAGCACCCTGCTGACAAGCTTGTTCATGTTTCTTCCACTAGGGGGCAGAGGTACTCCCTGTGACAGAAGCTCCAGTGCTTAGAGTGTGTGTGACTGTGGCCACATACTTGCATTTGATCGTCTCCAAACTACTATATAGCACCTTTGGAGAGGTGTTTTTTTTTTTTTTGTTTGTTTGTTTTTCTTCTTCTTCTTCTTCTTCTTCTTCTTCTTCTTCTTCTTCTTCTTCTTCTTCTTCTTCTTCTTCTTCTTCTTCTTCTTCCTCCTCCTCCTCCTCCTCCTCCTCCTCCTCCTCCTCCTCCTCCTCCTCCTCCTCTTCTTTCTTTTCTTCTGGAATTCACTTTGTAGACCATGCTGTCCTCGAACTCAGAGATCCACCTTGCTCTACCTCCAAGTGCTGGGACTAAAGGCATGTGCCACCACAGCCCTACTTGAGATAATTTCTGAAGAGCCCATGACCCCAGTTATGCACCTCCATCCTGCTAATACTGTGTATTGTCAGAGGCAGGACCCAGCTCAGTGGTGTCCCCTGTGTTCCCACCCACCCATTGACTGGGCTTTGCTACTGGGATGCTTAGTGCAGTGATAGCCCCAGGGACCCCACAGGCCCTTGTTATTTGTGCTCTCGCTTTCTGGCCTTGGGCTGATAGTATCATGTGTATTCTTGTTTTAACTTGCTGTTAACTTCCTATCCTCCATTAAACAGTACAGTGTGTAAATCCCTGGGCCTTCTTTCTTATTCTTCAGATGACTTTGCCAAGATTTGCTCATGATGCTGGGTGCTGCTTGGCTCATTGGATTTGGCTATGCAGTAGTAGCTCACTGCATGCGAAAACCTGCGGAATGTTGGATTATCTCCTGGCTTTTAGTACATGGACCAACACTGCTGTGAAGGTCCCCCCTGCCCATGACAGGTTTCTCTGACTGGGTAGAAGAAGAAGGCCAGCGGACCTAGTGGGGCTAGGCCCTACACAGCATAACACATCTGTCCATGGTGTAGGGCAAAGTGCCTGTGTTCCCTGTTTTCCTGGTGACGAGCACATCTGTGCTTTCATTTCTGTGGGACTGAGAAGATGTCTATCCACTTTCCTCTTGGCTGCCTTTGCTTCCCCCACTGCCGTACAGCGAGTCCTCTATGTGTCTCAGTGCTGGCCTCCTTTTGAGCTATGCTGGGAATACTACCTATCCTTGACTGTCACTGCTGTGCTTCAGATGGGTTGGCTCTGGATAGAAGCTTTTATCTTCTCAGAGGCTATGGATAGCTCACTTCCCTGGAACCTGTGCTCTTCAAGGGATGCCACCTTTGTAATGATCCTGCCCTGGTGGATTGTCTTGCTTCTTTTGGGTTAGAAGTGACATAATGGAACCCAGTTGGGTTTGCACATCTGCAGGAACACCAGTGTCCATGGAGGCAGGGAGCATGTCTTGTCCGACAGTGTAACTTTGGGAGGGACTTGCCCAGAGCTTCTGGTGGAGACGGCAGTCATCACAACTCCCCATGCTGTTTCTTATTTGTTGTGTGTTTTTCCTTTAGTATTTTAAAGCATTCACAAAGGAGTTTACAACTGGAGAAAATTTTAAAGGTAAGGAGCACGCAGCATTCTATTCTGATTCTTTAGGGTGACTCACTCAACCTGGTGGAGTGGACGTGGTCTCAGCATGTTTGCCCCAGTGCTGCCTGACAGTCTATTAAAAATTCAAGCCTGAATAGTTTGGGTGAGAAGAAGACTTCTTAAAATTTTTTTAAAACTGTGTTTGGTGGGGCTTGGAGAGATGGCTCAGAGGTTAAGAGCACTGGCTACTCTTCCAGGTTGTTCACAACCATCTATAATGAGATCTGGTGCCCTCTCCTGGCATGTAGGTGTACATGCAGACAGAACATTGTATAAATAATAAATCTTTAAAAAATAGTGTTTGTGTGTGTGTGTGTGTGTGTGTGTGTGTGTGTACGCGAGCGCGTGCATGCCCCTCTCCCTCGTCTGTCTGTCTGTCTGTCTGTCCTTAGAGGCCAAGGGTGTCAGATCCCCCTGGAACTGAAGTTACAGGAGGTTGTGAACCACTTGACATAGGTAATAGGAACTGAATTCAGTCCTCTGGAAGAGCGGTAGATGCTCTTATCCATAGAGCCATCTCTCTAGCCACAGAAAATTCTTTATTTTGTGCTTTGCCCTTTTGGGGAAATACGTATGGTAGTAAAATTTTTATTATATTTTTTATTAAGCTTGTCCTTTGGCTATTTCATACATGTATATCCTTCATTCTGGTCACTTTCACTGTGTACCTCCCAGCTCCTCTCCCCTGTTACCTACAGGTTCTTTTCTCACCCTCATTAGTAACAAACTTTTATTGAAGGAGTATTTCGTGGAATGTATGCATGGCAAGTGCATGGCTCATAGGTGTTTATGTGTGAGCCTGTTCAGGTGAGCAGTGCTGCACAGGCTGTCCCCCTGGGAGATACCTGCCATTTCTGGCATCAGAAGTCGTTTGCCTGTGTTAGCAGTAGATGTGTTGGCAGTGCACCTGGCCCCTCTTACCACCGTGTGTGTGAGATCTGTCACTTCGCCTTGTGTCCTGTGGCCTCTCACTTGCTCTCAGCTGTGTGGTCTCCCACTTCGTGCGTCTGTTGTTGCCTACACTACAGCAGCAGTGTACCTAGGATGCTGTGAATGGTGCTGCTGCCTTTCCTGACCTTGGGCTCTGGGCTTGGGGTGGCTGCTTAGGTTCAGGCACCTGCTGCCACAGCCATGACCCAGATTTGCTTTTGTAGGAACTGACAGGGAGCTTCGGACAGTCAGGCAGACAATGATTGACTTCCTACAGAACCATACGGAGGACACCCGGCCTCCTGCATGCCCACCCCTGGACCCTATTCAGTGAGTAGCCACTGAAAGGTAGCCTATGAGGACTAGAACATCTTGGTGGTAGTGCTCAGCAAGTGGGAAGCCCTGGTTCATCTTTCTTCCCAAGTTGCATGGTGCAGTTTGGGCATGGAGATCTCACTATGTGTATAGTGACTGAGGTGCTGGCATGCTGTGACAGCTTGCTATTATCGTGGATAGTACTAAAGGTTCTTCTTTCTCCTGACAGGCCCAGTGACATCCTTTCCCTCATGGACAGCCACAGTGGCCAATACCACGCTATTATGTTTGAAAGCAATGCTTCTTATGTTGGACGAGAGGTACTGTGTCACATGTGCTCTGGGGCTACAGCTGTTGTGGCTGGGATGGACTCTGGTTAGTGCATTGACAGCAACAGCCAGTGACCCTTGAACTGTCATTAGTTATAGAGATCGTGTGTGTGTGTGTGTGTGTGTGTGTGTGTGTGTGTGTGTGTGTGTGTTTGGTCTATATATAGAAGAAAAATGCTGGAGTGACAAGACTTGCCTTTTAGGGTCCAGCCCAAGGCCATTATTACGTGCTATTACAGATCCCCTATGTGCTGTGTTATCACATTAAGGAATCTGTAGAACCTTGCTTCATTTGTGAGATGTTGTCAGAAACCTTCAACTTTGGCCAACCATCAAACCAGGGGACCAGAGACCTAGTTGCTAATGCCAGGGTCCCTAGAAGACAAGAAGGAGGCCTCCTGGCCCACAGAGATTCAGCACTGACCTCTGGGCTCCTCCTTCCTGCCACTTGAGTGCTGTTCTCCAGGTTATCTGGGCAGTTCGAGGAGGAGGAGACAGCACTACCCTTGGTAGGCTCTGGAGGATGTGAGGCAGGCTACAGGCAACAATGTGGCAACCATAAGAGCCTGGCTGCCCTCTAGGACCTCACTGCCCTCCCACCAAGTTTGGTGAGTCATTTTAATTTTTGTTTCATGGTTGGCAGGATTTCTAGTCAAAGGACTAAGGAACAACAGAGCCCAGAACTCATTCCTGTCCAACTCCTTTCCCTATTGCCCAGAGCTGCTGCATGCCAGCGCTTCCAGGCTGTGCCCCTTTCCCTTCATACACACACATATACATTTATAAGCAAAAAACAGGGCCTCCCCCTTGAGAAGATGGCTGAAGACCCATCTTCTTGCCAATCACCCTTTCCCCATAGTACCAGCACATCAGTGCCTTTGCAATCAATAAGGCCTGGTCCTCTGGGTTGGACCTGTGACCAAGGGTACCCTAAGAGTCAAGATCAAGAAACACCATTGTGGCCAGGTGGGATGGCACACACCTTTAATCCCAGCACTCAAATGACAGAAGTAGGCAGATCTCTGTAAGTTTAAGATCAGCCTGGGCTATATATGATTTCCAGGCCATCGATGCTTACTCCATTCTTATAGATTCTGTAGCAGACAAATAGGTTCAGAAAGGTAAAGTTTAGTAACAAAAGTCACTTTGGGGGTTGGGTTACTTTATGGTTCAGCCCAAAAAATGCTTATCTTGCAAGCATGGAGACTTGAGTTCAGTCCTCAGAGGCACACTTATAATCCCAGTGTTGAGTAGCCAGAAACAGGCTCATCTCTGGGGTTTGCTAGCCAACCAAACCGCCCTATTTGGCAAGCTCTGGGCTGAGAGAACCTGTCTCAAAAACAAAGTGGGTGGTACCTGAGTAATGATCTCCACTTGTATATACACACATACATGCACTTGCACACACATGAAATACATACCTACTTACACACACACACCAAATGTTTCTTTTGATTATTCTGGAAAATTGCTAAATGAGAGTGGACATGTGCCTTGGTACAGTGCTTCAAATATAGTAAAAGTTACGGTGCACAAGCTGCTTTGATTGCAGAGGGGGGATGCAGGCAGACTGTGGTGCCATGCCTCAGCCTTGTGTAATTGGTGTAGCACTGCATGTCACACCACCCAGCTCTTTGCAGTCGGAACAAGGTTTTCCATGTTGTGTGGTGCAGGTAGACAGGACTGTTACCTGAACAGTTCAGCATCTGTTGGGTGAAGGGTGGCCTGTGGAGTGTGTGTCTACACCTCTGAGATGTTTTCCTAGAAAATTATGATGGTAACATGACTTCTTGTTCTGCAGGTGATCTTGGATTTAATTCCATATGACAACATCATGGTGAGCAGAGCACTGGATGGGGACAAAGCATTTCTGGAGACACTTGGCATTTCTTCAGTTCCTTCCTGTTACTTGATTTACCCAAATGGGTCTCGTGGACTGGTTAATATGTGAGTGCTAGTTTATACAATGAATGCAGAGCATTCAGTAAGTCTGTGGAGACTCGTGCTTCACTGGCATGCTGACAAGGTCTTGGAGTCTATCTGACAGCCCCCAGCTGACCAAGGTGCAAGGAAACCCTATGTCTGGCCATCTTCCTTGACCTACTGTACCCATGTTTCAGGCTCTAGGATCTCGAGTGGTTGTTGCCTCTGGTTGTTTCTATGACTTTCTGAGCAAACTCCAAGAGCAACAGGTATCCATTGACCCCTCCTATGCTAGGTCTGGGCTTTTGGTTGTATCTGTTGTGGCCAGCAAGCTCTGTCTAGAGTGAGAGGCTGGGGTGGGCACCAGGCACCCAAGGTCAATAAAGTGACCTTGAATAAAGCTTCAGAAAGCAAAATAGGTGTGAAAGTTAAAAATTCTGAGGTTGCAGGAAAGCCTTCCCAGAGTCAGAGCTACACTGCATGGCTCTTTAGCTGTATGAAGGTCAGCTGGCAAAGCGCTTGGTTAGCATTCAGGAAGCCTAGGTTTGATCCCATCACTGCATAAGTAGGCACGGTGGCTTATACCTGTAATCCCAGCATTTGGAAGGTGAGACAAGAGGATCAGAAGTTCAAGGTCATCCTTGGTTACATAGGGACTACATGAGACCCTCTCTCAAAAATGAATAGAAAAAACAGAAACAGGGCACCCAAGGTCATGGAGTTTTGGGAGGTGGTCCCTGAACATCTGGGAGGCTGCTCTACCCCAGTAATTGCCATTATGTTCTGAAGACGTGTGTATGTACACATAGAACCAAGAGTGTCACATGCAACTTCTAACACAAAGCCATGTTAATACTTTATAGTAACATTGCTGTGTTCTCTGTAGAAATGACACTGAGCTCTGGGTGCACTGATGGCTCCTGAGCATCAGCGAGCTTAGAAGGGGCCTGGCCTCCAGATACTGTTCAGCTGGCAGAGCAAGCATGTCATGAAGGCCCTCTGATACAGTGAAATCATAGCTGGGATGAAACTGATTTTGGTAGATGTTCAAACGGCTTTACAAACATCTTAAGGTCCCAGCAAGTATGGATGAGCTATGGTGTTCACTGCAGCTATTAGTCAGTGATTCTCTGGACTTGGTGTTCTGTCATCTCAGATGGGGGGTGGCTCCTGGGGCCCAGATGAGGTGCACGCCTTTCACCACCTATGTCAGTATATGCACAGGGGGAATGGTTGAACAGCTCTCCTCCAAGCCATGGCCTGGAGAAGCTGCATGATCTCCGACAGCCATAAAAACATCCCTCCCCTCCTTCCTTTCATAGCGCAAAGCCTCTACGATCGTTTTTCTCATCTTATTTAAAATCCTTACCGGATGTGAGAAAAAAGTCACTTTCCTTCCCTGAAAAGCCCAACAGAGAAGAAAATTCAGAGCTTATGATTTGGAAAGAATTTGACAGGCAAGTATGAGTGGGACTGGGTGAGCAGAGACTACCCACTGAGGCAGCTCCCTCGGTCTACCTCCCCCCTGGGGGCTTGGCAGAAATGAGGGGCCTCCTGCAGGAAGGCAAGAAGTGTCCTTCCTAACTCTCCACTGCTCCTCTCAGGGCCAAGCTGTACACTGCAGACCTGGAGTCAGGACTTCACTACCTGCTGAGAGTGGAGCTGGCTGCGCACAGGTCCCTGGCTGGAGCTCAGTTAAAGACATTTAGGGACTTCGTGACTGTCATTGCCAAGGTGCGGTGGTTCTGCTCAGACTGGTACTAGGACCCATTTAGTATGGGCTTGGGTCATCTGTCTGCTGATGTGGGTGACTGGCCAGCCCAGACCCCCTGGTATTGACTGACTGGTGTTTGCCTGTTGGAGGGGGGAGGGCAAAAGAGACTGAGAACAGGAAAGAAGCACATTGAGTTCTGACTCCCCAACTTAGCTTAGGGCAGTTCAGCAGGCTGAGAGAACCAGTAGATGAGGCATGAAGAATTGGTGGGGTTGTATAGATACCAGAGGTGGGGACTTGCTCCTAGGGAGCTTCAGAATGGGGTCCTAGGAGAGTTAGGTGTCCAGGGAAAGGGAAAACCGTAACAACACAGCCTAGGCCCTGCCATGTCAGAGTCAGGTGGGAAAAGGCTGGCCAGCATAGCCATAGTCTCCCAGAAGCCATGTAAGGGATCAGTGCAGAAATGCTGAGCAAGGCTAAGGGGTAAATGAAGGGCTACCTAACAAAGCTAATGCAGGAAGGCAGCTAGGTGTGGCAGGTATATGCTCCATGGACATTCTGGTCCTGATGGTGGGCTGCCCTGGGACTGGAAGAGAAGCCCTGAGCTGGCAGCTTCAGGTGGGAAGAACAGGCAGAAGACAGGGCAGTATGCTTGACATTCTCAGAAGACCTTTTAGATGGGCTGGGACCACCTCCATCTTGGTGATGCGTGGTACAGGCTCATGTTCTGATAGCTGGCGTGAGAGTGAAAAGGCTTAGTTTCCTGCCAACTATTCATCTCTGGTGCCCAGAGCTTGGGTGGGTGGATTGCCCTGCCCTTTGGGAATGAGCCTGAGCCCTCTTATTAGTGTAACAATCCTGTCTGGTCTGGCATTGTTTCTGCTGCTTTCTGGCTTTTTGAATGCCCCATCACCACCACTATTGGCCACAAGGACAGTGTTAGACCCACTTTATCTTGTACTGACTATGGAGCAGGTATTTTATAGACCTTCTTTCAAGAGTCCAGACAGGGGGGCTGGAGAGATGGCTCAGTGGTTAAGAGCGCTGTCTGTCCTTCCAAAGGATCCGGGTTCAATTCCCAGCACCCACATGGCAATTCACAACTGTCTGTAATGCCAATTTCAAGGGATCTGATACCTCCACACTAAAACACATAAAATAAAAACTAAAAAAGTGAAAAAAAAAAAAAAAAAAAAAAAAGAGTCCAGACAGGTGGATCTGTGTAAATTTAAGAACAGTCTAGTCTTCATATTGAGTTCCAGTTCAGCCAGAGCTACATAAAGAAACCATGTCTCAAAAACAAAAATGTTGAGCTAGGCTAGCTAACTGTATGTCTCACTAGATACTGCTGCTCTAGAATGGCTCGCCAGCATACTCACTCCAGGCACATAGTTAACTGTTGGCTTACAGGAATTGACCTCCTCACGATGGGTTTGACTCTACAAATTGCCTTCCTGCCCTTCTTTCAGTTAGCTCTGGTTTGTGAGGATGTGTCATATGACAGTAACAGTTCCTTAAATCACGACAAAAAAGTTACTGTTGTAAATTTACTTAAGCATCTAAGAACAAATTTAATGCTGATTAACTAACTGATCTAGGTACTTTGAAGCAATGCATAAAAATATAGCTAAAACAACCTTTATTTCTGCACATGTAATAAGAGAACAATATTCGCCAGGTGGTGGTGGTGCACACCTCTAATCCCAAACTCAAGAGGCGGAGAGAGGCAGATCTCTGCATTCAAGGCCAGCCTGGTCTACAGAGGGAGTTCCAGGACATCCAGGGCTACAGAGAAACTCTGTCTTGGAAAACCAAGAAAGAAAGAGACAGACAGAGACAGAGAGAGAGAGAGAGAGAGAACAATCTACTATGCTAGAAGAACAAACCCACCAGGGTTCTCTTAGATGCTTGCTCTCCAGGCCCCTGTGTTGTGAGTCAGCCATTAGTCTGCATGTCATCGCTGCCTGTGATAAGTCCGTGTTCCCACATACCTTGTAGGGAAGTTGGTTAAAGACAATTAAAGAGGCTGTTGGAATTGAAGAATCGCAGAAAGAAAGAATAAGTATGCAGGCAGTATCTTCTGGAGGGCCACTGAACCCTTGACAACTTGGTAATATGCCATACCCAATAGTCTCCCTGTCTGATATCATGAAATTACCATTTGGTAACCCCCTAGTTCTTGAAGTGAACCCGGAGTTCTAGGCATTTTCTTAAAGGACTGCCTGAGGCAGGGCATGTGTTGGTATGGGGCTTTGACCCTGCTTTGTGGACTTTGCCACAGGGTCACAGCTTTCCATACTGTTTTCAGACCTTGGGAGGAAGTGGGAATTTTTCTCAACATCTTATAGGGTGGGTGCTTCTTTCTTAGCTGTTCCCCGGCCGGCCACCAGTCAAGAAGCTGTTGGAGACACTACAAGAGTGGCTGGCCAACCTTCCCCTGGACAAAATTCCATACAATGCTATTCTAGACCTAGTCAACAACAAAATGCGGGTGAGTCCCAGCCCTGGCCATGTCTTATGTACGCACTGCTTTTTGCCTTCATCTAGCATGCCCAGGACCCAGAGTCCGCAGGAAGAAAGAATAAATCTACTCACCTATGGTGCTGTTAGTACTTGGTACCCACAGCACAGGCGCCATCTTCCTGCTCGGAGAAATCCCCTCTTCCAGTGTAGAAAAGCCCTACATCCCTTTGTGAAGAAGCCCATGTCTCTAGGTAGAGAAGCTTCACAATTTTTACTGTTCTTGTTTCTGTGATGACTTCATGCACACTTCCCTACATCAGTGATGCTGCTAAGTTACACTAAAGGCTTCAGTTTAAGGACAGCTCACTAAAAATACACTGTGAGAGCTGCCCTCAAAACGGCACAGTACCCAGGGCTTGTGGTTTTGACACAGTTGTTTGATTTTTTTGTTTGTTGAAATAGTGTCTCTTATGTAGCCTCAATCCAAGTACTGAGATTATAAACATGCAGTGAGAAGCTTTGATGCATACCATCTCCCCAACCAAGGCCAGAGGCATCCTGCAGCTAGTGTTAATTTTAACACTTGTCTTGTATTCTTTGTGGATGTTTCCCCCTCAGATTTCTGGAATCTTTCTTACCAGCCACATAAAGTGGGTGGGATGTCAAGGAAGCCGATTGGAGTTGCGGGGCTACCCATGCTCCCTCTGGAAACTGTTTCACACTTTGACGATTCAGGCCTCCACCCATCCAGAAGCGCTGGTTGGCACAGGTAACCATCTGCCTAACCGAGCTGACACTAGTGGCCTTTTGCATTCACTGTTTAGTTTGAGTGCATGGCATGTGCTACCATAAGTACCTACAAGAGTTTGCCTGGCTATCTATGAGGTGCCAGTCATCAGATGTCAGAGCAGGGGACATGCTAAGTCTAGAGGTGAGCATCTCAGAATACAAACACCAGAAGCACAGCCTGCCTGTTCATGGAAGGCAGGAGGGAGAGTTCCATACCCTTTGCCACAACAGCCTTACTGGGGGAAAAAAAAATCACAAGGAAGACAGACCAGCCAGGAATCTTTGCAGTGTAAACTCAACTTGGTTGATTCAGGAAAATAAGGCAAGTGAACCCTGTTTAGTGAGGTATATTATTTATCATTTGTTCTAGAACAGTCGAGCCTCAAATTTAGCAGCTTAAGACACCTGACTTTCATAATATTAGTTTCTGTGGATCAGGAATCTGAGTGTGGCATAACCTGGGTCCTCAGCTTCAGGATAATGAGACTAGTTCAGCTTGGGATAGACCCACTTCTAAGCTTTCTCATTGCCCACTGGCTGCTCCCCTGAGGCCCTTAGGTCCCTGCTGGGTCCTGGCTAAAGGCTAGAGGCTCTTCATCCATTTCTCTGAGGTTCACTTACATCTTGGTAGCTGGCTTACTAGGAGGAAGCCAGCAGAAGAGCAACACTCATCACTTCTGTCATCTTGGTCTCACTGGGCCCACTCTGCTCCCAAGGGAAGAAGCACCCATGAGTTGTAAGTTTTAGAGGCAGGGACCAGGGACAGTCTCAGAGGCTGCTTATCACATGGAGTTTAAAAACCACAAAACCTGAGGATAGAGACTGATAGCTGTCAGTAGTTACCAAATAGCAAATGAGAACTCTATCTACTCTTCTCTACAAGGCCTGTATTGAAATTTTATCCACTCTGGATATGGCCATGTCCCCTGGAGCAGTAGAGCAAGTGTTTATCTTTCAGCTCTTATGCTTTAGTCTGTCCACTCACATTGTACACTCACATTGATACCAAGTCATAGTGGAGTCCACACGACCCATTATGTCTTCCAGTAGCATCATAAAATTCTTCTATGTGGTGTCGTCAAATACCTACCACTTTGCTTGCTCAGGTTTGGATGGGTCTGGCTAGGCTGCATGATTCTTCTATCCCTTCTATTGTTTGTGGAGATGTCTGTTGGTAGCTGGCCATCTAGGGGTGGGGGCTTGGATTGACTCATTCCTGCAGACCAGCCTCAGCTTCTTACCAGGTGACACTAAGATCAGGAAGAACTTGAAGGCTTTGGCAGGTTATCATTCAGCCATATCCTGTTTGTCCTGACTGAACTCAGAGCGAGGGAAGTAGACCCACCTCTTCATAGACGCACCCAAATCACTTTGTAAATTGGTATGTCCAGGATGGGAGAGATTTGGTCATTCTTAACATCATATTCCCATGGAAATCAAAAGAAAGAGGAGCACACACCAGAGAGAAACCCCAGAAACAGTCCAGATGCTGAGGTCAGACCCATAGCACTATGTGATTTAATGCATCAGGACTCCTAAAACAGGCTGATTCCAGGGCTCTCTTGTCTATGTGGAGAAAGGAAGTGAGTGCTGGCCCACCATGCACCTGCTGTGCTAGCTCCTCAGAGCACTGCTGATGTTTGCTCAAGAAGGAATACTTAAAGTTTGGGACAGCCAGAGTTGGAGGCCCTAAGACACGCTTGATGTCTGTGTGACAGACCACATTCAGGCAGGCAGCTGCAGCACTCTCCTGCTTGTGAACACTGTCTGATGCAGCCCTGAGAAAAGTAGTCTCCTGCCAATGGAATTGGGTCAAGCGAGGGGCAGGATTAAGTCTTTGAGGTTTTCTTTTCTCGCTGCTGATTTAAACCCGTCTACTAAAGTGCCCACTGCATGGTCTAACCCTCCCCCAGGTAGCGGTTTATGGTTCTTGTCCACTTTAAAGATTAGGGCTGGAGCGAGCAGTGGTTTGGTGAGCAAGAAGAGGGATTACTGTGATGTGAGGCAGATGTTTGAAGATCTAGTAGGGAGAGGAGGCCTGGCAGGCCGGTCACAAGACCAGCAACAGTGTCTCACACACCAGGCATTGCCCAGCTACCCGTGGGCACACTCAATGCCAGCAGGAACAGTGGTGTGCTGATTTCTACCTCCCAGATATAAAGGTACTAGTGTAACTCCTCATGTCGACGAGTTTTGGTTGACAAGACCCCTGGCTGAGGGTGTACTGAGAAGCAGACACCCCTGCAGGCTGCTGTGGACAGAAAGATTGCCTCCTTAGTGGGAACGCATTTTCTCCTTAGTCACTTTGCTGCCTGTCTGTGGTACTGGTCCCTTACTTGTATGCTTACCTGTGTTGGGATGCAGCCCGCCCTTTGTGGTTGGTTGCTTGTCTCTGGGTGTGCTTCTGCCTGTAGGATGAATTGCTTTCTGAAAATGCTGTGTACCCTTCATGTCTGTTGCTTCCATCCTATAAGCCTCTGTTATGCTATGAACCGTGCCCTAGATGGATTTTAAAACCACCACCAGCCAGGTGTGGTAGTGCACACCCCTAGTCCCATGGAGGCAGAGGCAGATGAATCGCTGTGAGTTTGATCAAGGCATGGTCTACAGAGTGAGTGCAGGACAGCCAAGGATACGCAGAGAAACCCTGTCTTGAAAAAATAAGTACATAAATAACTACACCAGCACACGCCTTTAATTCCAGTGCTCAGGAAGTGGATCTCTGAGTTCGAGGCCAACCTGGTTTATAGGTCAAGTTCCAGGATAGCCAGGGCTACACAGAGAAACCTTGTCTTGAAAAACCAACCAAACAATCAAAACACCACCAGTTAGATGTAATAGTTTTATAATTCTATAATTCTAATATTCAAGAGGCTGAAGTAGGAGGATAGCCTTGAATTCAAGGCCAGCCTGAGCTCTATTGCAAGTTCTAGTCCAGCCAGGATGACATAGCAAGACCCTGATTCCAAAAATTAAAACAAACAAAAGAATAAAAGTGTCACCATTTGGAGAGGCTCAGTCCTTTTGAAAGAAAAAAAGCCCTTGCCAGCCTGCCTCCCTGTCCATCCTCCAAGAGAGAGCCCTGGCAGCTGGCCAGGTAGTAACCACTGCTGCCCATCTGCTCAGGGAAGATTGTACACGGCTATATTTGCTCTTGGACCTGGTTCTGTGGACTCTGAAGCAGGACGGCCTGGGCTCAGAGTGAGAGCCTCACCTTCACAAGTAGCACTTTGAGGGGTTACAAAGCAGGAAGTACACACAGCTGGCAGACTGGCAGGTCCTAAGGAAAACATACTCATTGGTTTAGCTTGTATTTTGGGTCATGAGGTCAAGGACAGACAGCCAGGAACATGGTTGAAGAATGTTAGCACATTCCATTTAAGACTTATGGGGATCGAGGCATCTCAGTTATTGGAGCTTGTTCTTCTTGGTACTAGCACTCAACCTTCTGAATACCCAGAGTAATGATGTGTTCCTAGTGTGGCCGCCACTGTCCTCGTGCAGTGGGAGCAGCCTTCATCGCTTCCAGTCATACTGCCATACTGGCACACCCATCCCATGGGTTCTTCTCTGTAAGGACTCTTGGAACCACTCCATGCTGTTGGCCTATCTGAGTCTTCCTGTTTGAGCCATTTGACAGTTCCAGGGTTTGGTGACTGCAGGCTTGCAGCACTGATGGCCTTCTTCCTTCTGCAGGTTTTGAAGATGATCCCCAGGCTGTGTTGCAGACCATAAGGAGATACATTCACACATTCTTTGGATGTAAAGAATGCGGTGAACATTTTGAGGAAATGGCTAAAGAGTCCATGGATTCTGTGAAAACTCCAGACCAAGCTGTTCTCTGGCTTTGGAGGAAGCACAACATGGTGAACAGCCGCCTGGCGGGTAAGAAGCTGCATACCCTGATGTCCCCACACTGTCAGCCATAACCCTGAGCCTAGGTGTAGAGGGTTCATCCCACTTCAGGGCCACCAGGGGTGCCCTAGTCAGTGTGTTTGGGGACAGTTAGTTCCCAAGCACTGCTTGCTCTGAGTGTCTCAGACCACTGTGACCCATTAGCTTTGGGGCTCCAGGCCCTTGTGGTCACTAATGGAGCTCTTCTCCCTTATCTCCCTCCAGAACCTCCCCCCCAACTTTACCACAAGTCTTTCTGAACTCTGAAAAAAAAAAATCTATAGAAATTTTGCTAAATTTTTATTGTCTTTAAAATCTGTTCTCAGGGCTGTAGATTTAATTCCATTTGTAAAATTCTTGCCATGTAAGCATGAGGATCTGAGTTGATCTCTTTAAAAAAAAAAAATCTGGATGCAACAGCACATACCTATAATTCTGGTGCTGGAAAGGTGGAGATAGCTCCTGGATCCTGCTGGCCACTCCAGCCCACTCCAGTCTGCAAACTCCAGGTTCTCTGAAAGACCCTGTCTCAGAAAGTAAGAGCCTCAATGTCCACCTCTGCCCTCTACCAGCATGCACAAACACACACGTGTACATACACACATAAATCTCAGATTGCTGAGCAAACCTCACAAGTGATTTTGTTTTTTTTATAAAAAATAGAGGGCACATGTAGTCTGTCAGAGTTAAGTAATTCCCACTATTCCAAAATCAATGGAAGATTAAAATTAGGCTTAAGAATAATTCTACTGAGAAATGAATTTAACAGAGATAAACGGAAAATGTCACTAAACTCTTGGTTTTTGTTTAATCCGCTGTATTATAAAACATATTACAACTAAAGCACTAAAGAAAATTGGTTTTTCTTGGCACTAAGAGCAGACGGTGCCTTTCGTATGGCGGATTTGCTTTGTCTCAAGGCGCTGCTGTAGTGGCCCTTATACAGGGATTTCTCCCTAATACCTTCTCTATCTCCCTCCCACCTCTCCTCCTCCCCACACCCCAGGCGCCTGGCTCTGAGGCAGCCAGAACAAGGCACCAGCTGGGCCTGCCCAGTCCAGGAGCCCTGTCATTTGTCCCCAGTTGCAAGTACTCACATCACTAGGCCACAGCAGGAAGGGGCTGCATGGTGTGATGTTGCTCCTAAGATTCCTCACCTGCTCACCAGTCCACCACCAACCTAGGGATTGGGTCTCCATCTTTGTCAGACCTGAATCACCTGCCCAGTGCCAGCCTGTGCTTTCCATCGCTTAGAAGATGGTTGGTGTGTATCTCACAGCTCATTCTGGTCTCTCACCAGCTGACCCCTTCCAGGGAGTGCTGGCTGGCCTTGGCCTTATGTCCCCACCCTGTGTCTAGTAACTCATAAAATAAAATTTAAAAATGGTCCTGCCTTCACTTAACTCTATACACACTCTGAAGGCGAGGCAATCCTGGGTTAGCAGGGAGATTTGGAACTAGGAACCTCTTGTGTGTGGTTCTCGGAGTTGTGACAAGGCAGCCTTTCTAAGGGTAGGTGGTCAGAAGACTTGTAAACCCTCAAATATGGGGCCTCTGGGTGCAGGCACATCCTTTTGTCACCAAGATACACAGCTGGCTGCATAGCGTGGGGATGACCCAGGAGGTGGCGAGACTCAAGGTTGGTCTGTTTCCACTCAGGAACCAAGTTCACATGAACTGCAGGATGTTCTGGTTTTCCAAACATAACTTCCCCTGTTGTGGTGTGGTCCTAAGGTCTTTAGGAATCTTCAAGGTCTGGGGGTCAAGGGAAGGTGTCTAGAGTGTGGAGAAATGTATGAGCAGATAGTGTTTTTAGCAGCCAAAGTGGTCAAGGACTTTGTGAGGTGTTGGGTCTCAAGTACACTTTAAGGAAGATACAAACTGGCAGTGGTGCCACAGGCCTTTAATCCTAGCATTGTGAGGCAGAGGCAGGCAGATCTGTTGAGTTGAGGGCCAGCCTGATCTAGAGAGCAAGTTCCAGGACAGCCAGGGTTACATGAAGAAAGTCTGTCTCAAAAAAAAAAAAAAAAAAAAAAAAAAATATATATATATATATATATATATATATATATATATAACAGAAGTGATAACTTCATGGACCCATGCAAGATGGAGGGCCTGGGAGGGGGTTTGTCATGGAAGGTGCAGAGCCCAAAATGTAGTATCCCTCATTTGTATGCAGTGTAGGGGCTTGCCAGAGAGAAGACAGTATGCATTGGGTGCCTGGAAGTGGGGAAGGGAGGAAAGCAGGGACACAGTGGTGGGTAGGGTGAGGCCTACTAGCATTCCGTGGCTGAAAGGTTTCTCTGTGGTTCTCTCCTTGCCTCCCTTTTAGGCCATCTGAGTGAGGATCCCAAGTTTCCAAAGGTTCCATGGCCCACTCCAGATCTCTGCCCAGCTTGCCATGAGGAAATTAAAGGCCTGGACAGCTGGAATGAAGACCAAGTGCTTGTGTTCCTGAAGCAGCATTACAGCAGGGACAACCTGGTGGACACATATTCAGTGGACCAGGGCAGTCCTGGGGACTGGGGAGTGCTGGGCAAGGAGCAGGAAGAAGGCAAAGGTCTTAACCCCTCAAGGAAGTCCTGGGGACAGCAGGACACTGAGAGTCTCCGCCCACCCCATGTGCCGGGCCCCAGAACTGACCTTTCCAAGAACCTGCACCACAGGCTGGACCTAAGACTCCAGAGCCCCCATGGGCTCCAGGCACTTGAGGAGGCCAAGGTAGCTGTGCCTTTTCTTGGGGTTGGCTTTTCCAGTCTAGACATGAGCCTCTGTGTGGTGCTCTATGTGGCCTCCTCCTTGTTCCTGATGATTATGTACTTCTTCTTCAGAGTGAGGTCCAAGCGATGGAAAGTTCGGCTCTACCACCCAGCTGTGTAGAGCACTTGGAACAGCCATGTCCATACAGAGGAAGCCTTGGAAACCACCCGCACACCTGCAGCTTTAATGTTGGGATCAGGGATTTTGGAAATGTACCCAGCATAGTATCTGGAGGAGCATGTTTTGTTTTGTTTTTTCTACTGGAACATTTTGCCTTGATGGCACCTTGTCCTCACCTTCCCATGTTAGACTTACGTCGATTTGCCCTTGTAGGCCAAAAGAAAGCAGGTTCATCACACAGCCGGCCATGTTTCTGCTCCTTCCGTGAAGCCTCACATCTACATTTGCTCTCCCTCCCCACCCTACTCCCACTCTGGGGGCAGTGATGAGCAGCCAAAGCAGAGGCCTCTCTAGGCATCACACACCCTGCCACAGATGAGAGCTCTGTACCTGTTCCTGCATAAACGTGCTTTCGAGGGAGTTCAGGGTGCTCCGAGGTTGAGCAGAGAGGTTCAGGACCCAGAGGCCACTGAGTTGTGTTGTAGCTTCCCTGTGTCTTAAGAAATAACCCAGGGTGGAGTGGGCCTTGGATAGGGCAGGGTGGTGACAGGAGAAGGAGATACGACCATCCCTCTTGTGCTGTAGTGCAGTTCTGGTCTCTGTGGTGAAGTTCTGCCTGACAGCACAGCGGTGAGCACTGGTCTGCTGGGGGCGTGCAGTCTCCAGGAAGCCTCTAGAGCTCCTGTCATGTCTCCTGGACACTGTGGTGGGGGCACAGGGTGCTGGGCACATGCAGTAACCCCTGCACACTAGGGTCCTGGCCTTGAGAGTAACTTAAAAAAAAGTTAACAAATTAAATACATTATTTGTAAAATCCTAAAACACTGAATGCTAAAATTGTGCCTAAAGACGTAAAAAAAAAAAAAAAAAAAGGACTAAGTCTACATTTCTGGAGACATTCCTGCTGAGACCCTCAGGAGTTTCTTTTTATTTGTATAAAGCAAGCGTGTCTGTGTCTGTGTCTGTGTGTACGCCTCTGTACTCACATGGGTATGACTAGGTTAGTTAAATATACATTCACTTTGTATGTTCTGTATATTTGTGTCCTTCCCAATGACAGTTGATCACATGGGTATCATTTAAGACCCTGTATTATCAGTGTCCCTGCTGCCACTTAAGAAAATGGACAGCTGTCTCCTTGGGCTTTTGTTAACCTCCTTCCATCACATGGGAGGATCAGGTCTGAGAGTCAAGCCTCCCTGCTGGGGCAGATGGCTTGGGTCCAGGCCCTTGAACCTCCTGCTTCACTTCCCTGTGGCAGGAGGAGGTTTCTTTGAAACCTGGAGTGCTGTGCTTAAAAAAAGAAAGAGAAAGAAAATAAGAAAAAAATAAGTTTGTCCTTATTGCTGATAGTGTTTCTAGGGTATTGAGACACTACTGGTCTGTCAGCTGGAAAATCAGGCCTATTTAAGCATGGCTCCAACGGGAAATGCTAGAGCTCACAGTTGAACTGCCTCTGGGAAACATTGCTGAAGGGCACTTCCTTAACTGTGACCCCAAGGCTGCCACAGACCCCCTCAGTGCCTGACATGGCTGATGTTTGCAGAAGCCCTCTCTGGGCAGATCCTATTTCAGCTGCCCTTGTGGAGTCCCGGATCATCCCTTTTGGAGGACAGGCTTGTCATGTACATCCCTGTTTGAACTGTCCATTCTGCAGTGAAAAGGCTTGCGTTCCTCCAAGACTGCTCAGCCTGGGACCCACCGTTAGGCCAAGTGTAAGGTTTGAAGTATTATAAGGGGAATTTCAATTAGTGAATATAATAAATTCAGTAATTTAAATGTTTATTTATTTTTAATGCAAAGATTTTGATTAAAAAGTCAGTTGACATAAAAATGTAAATGAAATTTCTTACCTTAAAGGGTACATTTTGTATTTAAGTAAACTATTGTGCACATTGTAAGAATAAAGAAATCGGACATTCAGTAATGTTGTTACAGTTTTTCTTGAAATGTGAGCAGCTGTATATAATGCTAGATCCAGGGAATGTTCTAAACCCTTCACTCCCTTCTAGTTTGCAGACCCAGCTCTGAAGTTCTAGGAGTATAAAGATAAACTAGTGGCTTTGGGGGAGACAGGCAGAGGTCAGGCAGAAAGTGGAGCATGAAAATGGTCTATGGGAAGAGTTGCAGGACCCTGTGCCTTTGTTAACAAAGTACAGGGATCAGTCCAAGTGTACCCTCGCAGTGTTTCTGACTGCACTGAGATGCTGTGGCTGCCAGGCCACCCAGAGGCTGCTGAACCTCTCACCAAATTTCCCTCCCATCTGCTCTATGTCCCTGCTCTGCTGGCCTGGGGCAGTGTGTGGAGAGCAGCACCCTGCAGGACCCGGGAACTTCTGCTCAGGACCCCTCACAGCTTCTGTGTAGAGAGCCTTACAGGAGCTGGCGGGATTGCACACATGACCCTCTTCCATAAGTGGGAGCTGGAGAGGAGAGTAAAATTTGCCGGTGTAGTACTGGATGCAGGTGGTTCCTGGAGGCCACCAGCCGCAGTCTGAGGCCTCTGACCTGTGTCTGCAGCAGGTGGTGGCTGGACCTCCACCAGGGGGAGGGCAGAGTCCCAAGCTAACGGCCCCAAGGCTCCCAACCCCGCATGCTGCGAACATAATACCTCCAACCAAGGCCCAGAGCCCAGGGCAGGGAAAGTTGGAGCCGCTGTGCTACTGCGTCAGGTAAACTGAGGTCCTAAGAAAGGGCTACCACACATCAAAAAGACTAGTCAAACCCAGCCCTGGAGTGACGCCAGCCTGACTCCGCCTGCCCGGGCCTGGAAGGGGCCAAGGGCGGGGACAGAGGAGGGGCGGGGCAGGCTGGTGAAGGGCCCCAGCATGCTAGTGCCTTCTTCAGCACCGTGGACAGCGCTGGTCCAATGAGTGGGCCAAGACCTGGAAGAGGTCCGTCACTCCAGGGAACCCTCCGCACAAACCACTGGGTTAGTGACTGCCATGCTGCTAGAAGCGGAACTTGACTGCGACGGAGAGCGGCTTGGTGCCCCGGGAGCTGCTGCCCTCTGTACCTTCAGCAGGACTCCAGGTAGGAGCTATTGCAATCCCAGATAGTGGTGGGCTAGGAGAGAGTAGCGTAGGAGGGGCGGCAGAGAGGTGATAGCAGTCCAGGGAGACAAGGAAGCTACAGGGTCAACAGTGACCAGGAAGGTCTGGGGCTGGCCTGAGACGATGTTAAGAAGGGCAGAATGAGGAGTGTAAAGGATCCTAGAGAAGGAATGCCCCACAGCTTCTACAACTGCTTGCTGCAGGGGTCCCCAGGCTAAGTCTCCCGCCTGAACTCTGATCCCCAAGGGCCATTTCATTGCCATGGACGTTGGAAAATAATGGAGGCATTGTTGGTGGCAAGCCAGATGCCCAGCAGTGTGGGGCCGCCCCTTCCCTAGTCTAACCACACATGGCCCCCGCCCCACTGCCTCTGTAGCAGCTGACACTCAATGGCTCACAGCCTAGCTCACCCAGCACCCATTTCACTCCAAGCTGGTGTTCCCTGACCTTCCTGGAATAACAAGTACAGTGCCACAGGAAGGGCTGATCTGAGGCAGCGGGTGTGCTGGCGACGAGTGGTGCTCTTTTCACTCACCCTTTCCACGCTGGCCTCTGAGAGGTCCCGCTCCAAAGGACAGAGGCAGAGCGGGGCAAGTAGAGGAACCCGGAGGGTGGCAACAGCTGCTGATTCCTGAAACACTTCCTGGGTGTTCCTGACAATTGCCAGGGCCCTACACTTTTCTGGGTTCTATTTCCTACAGTTGAGGGCACAGGCCTTGGGCTGCATCCTAACAGTACTGCGCGCCCTCAGTGAGGACACATGCAAGGATAGGAGAGGCTCTGGGTGGGCTCACCTGTTCCGATGAGGATGAGATGTGGAAATCCAGGTGCAGGGATTGTTCTGAGGAGCTGGGGTGCAGAAGTGAGGACAAATTCCAGGGCTTCCACACCTCAACCCTCTTCTGACGTGGAGTCTTGGCTGTGTGTTCTCCAGTAAGCAGCTCCAGCGGTGGGGTCCAGAAGTTTCAAGTCTGGGAGCCCTCTAGTCGGGCCCTCTGCAGCCACACTGCCTCGGTGGTGATCAGGTTGCCCTTCTGCTGACCAGGCGTGGTCCCAGCGCTTTCCAGCTCACTCAGAAGCTAGCTGTGAGCAGTAAGAATGCGCTTCCCTCCCTGCCATGTTCCTTAGGACCTCAGCCTTCCCAGAGCCTTAGTGAACTTGCTTGGGGCAGGAGCGAGCATCTGTGGGAAGCCTTGAGTGGGCTACCGCGCTGCCTCCATCCTCGGAAGTGCAAGCCGGAAGGCTTCTGGGCACCTCAGTTCTGGCCCAAAGGCTCATAGAGCCTCCAGTGGCCTCCATGGCCTTGGGAGCGTCTCCGCGACCCCCGGCCCAGCCCCGCCCCGCGGCCCCGCCCCCCGCCGCTCCGCCCTCCACAGGCCCGAGGCTTGGCGCCCAGAGGCCTCCCGTGGGCACAGCGCCCAACAGCGACACGAGCCGCTCCGACGCCAGCTCGGAGTCTCTGCAGCGGTGGCCTCGCCGGACCCAGGGGAACTTCAGGGTCGGAGGGCCGCGGTGGCAACGGGCACCCGGCCCCATGGAGGCTCGTGGGGAGCTGGACCAGTCCCGGGAATCGGCGGGCGGCGACCTGCTGCTGGCGTTGCTGGCGCGGAGAGCCGACCTGCGCCGAGGTGGGTGCCCGACGGAGCGGCTGCACCGGACAGGCCCAGAGGTCTTCGGTTTTTTTCTGGCCTGTGTGCGAAGGCCGGCAGAAGCCAGGGTATCTGGGCAAGGGTGTGTCTCCGGGGCTCTGGCATGGCTAGGCAAAGGCACCTCAACCTCCAAAGTGCGTGGCCCCCCTGGTCTGTTTTGTCCTGGTATTGAGTCCTCGGGCTAGAAAGCCCTTGGTGATTTAGAAACGGCTTAGGGGACCCTTTGCAAATCTGAGCTCGCTGAGGCCGTTGAGCTGGAGGGAGCGTGTGAAGACCAGGAATCAGGGAGCAGGAGTGTCTCCTAGGGAACTGTCCTCACCCAGCCTCTCCCCAGTTTTCAGAGGGATCAGGGCCGGGTCAACATGCACCACTCATCTTCCCTGATTTGAGTCTTGGGGTCATACCCGCGGCTTACCACTAGGCTGGTGGTCAAGACCCGTTTACAGGGAAATGTGGGGTTTCTCTGGGCCCCAGTTTCTTGGTGGTACCAGTCTCTTGCAGAGCTTTGGTTCTGGGGAGTAGGAGCGCCCTTCTGCTCTCCAGGCGGATGGGATAGCAAGATGGGGAAAGAGGCAGTGAGGCTGTCAGAAGGCCGGAGCAGGCGGGAAGGGAGTCTCTCCAGACTGGGGTCGGGTGTGACCTACTTGCTTATTTATTTATTTTCCGATGGTTTAGGGGAGGGATTGAGTGCAGGGGTTGAGAGGAAGAGGTGGGAGGGAAGGATGAGAAGGGGAGGAGAGGAGCGCTTGGTAAGCTAGGCTCCGGAGCTCCCGGAGGCTTGCTAGAGCGCTGGTGGCTCCCGAGGCTCCACAGGGCCCTCCAAACTGTGTAGAAAACTGTGCTGAGGTTGGATTCGCCATGCAACGTAAGCCAGAGGAGGTCGAGGGGGGCTTAACTGGGAGGCTTGACGGTGGCGGCGGCTTTTGTAGGAAGCGGGCCCTGCTGTGGGCTTCTTGGCCGAAGCGCTGTCCGTGTCCGGGTGCTGAATCTTCAGTGTGCGGCCTGTCCAGCCACCCCAGTCTTTTCTGGGTCTCCTTACTGCCCTATGATGGCTCCTGCGGTGGTGGTCTGGGGCGGCTAAGGACGATGTCGATCTCATGTGCACACTGGAGACACGGTTTTGCTCAATGCGGGACAGCACCCGCTGCAGGCTTGTGGCCAGTGCTGGAGGGAGGGAGGGCAGATTTTGTCCTTTTCTAATTCCTCCCACCTGCTGGAGGCCAGCCTGGGGCTAGCTGTCTCTAGCCAGAGATGTAAAGACACTGGTGTGGGTGTGACATCATGAGTGGATCCTGGGTCCTGCACACGATTCTCCCTTTTTCTAGAAACCTTTCCTAAATTATCAGGGACTCTTCATACAGTGAGCATGAAGAAGAGCTGCTCAGTGCTTCTATGGCTCTTGAAAGGCACATTTAGATTTCTCCCACCCAGTTTCCCTGAGGCCTGCAGGCTGGGGGTGGGGTGGGGTCATGGGTGGACAGAACTGGTGTCTGAGGAACTGAAGCCGTGGAGAGTGAAGCCACCTACTGTGTACTCCTCAAGCCTGAGCAGGCGAGCAGCAGATCTAGTCAAACATAGCCAGTGCGTGTAAGTGCCTGCACCCACTCACAGTGAGGCCAGTGTCCGTTTGCACCTTAGATGCCACACACAAGGGCCAGAGCTGACAGCCTCACTTGTTGGAACTCTGCAGACTGAGGCCAAGGTGCTTCACTGATCAAAATCACAAAGGCAATGAAGTTCCAGGTGTGGCCTTTTGCCCTTGCTAGTAAGGACATGCTTCCTATTTTCTGTCCCATCTTTCCAGATCCCCCCAGGGGTGGGGTTTTCATTCGAGATTGACATGCCCTGTCTGGCACTGGGAACAGCTTTAGGGGACAGCCTGGTCACCTGGCTGCAGACACATTTCAGTTTCCTCTGCTCGCAGCGGGACTGGGGATGCAGCAGCATGCAGTGTCTGACCACTGCTCTCACGGGGGAGCCTGGCTGCCCAAAAGCTGGCAGGAGAACATGTGCCGGGTTGCAGACCCTTGCTCGGCCCCGCCGAGGTCTACAGGCTGGCTCCCGCCGAGGAGAGGGCCATCACCCACCCGCTGTGGTTTCATAACCTGGCTAACTACTGTGTTCGCAGAGATCCCGATGTGTGCCGGCTGTGATCAGCACATCTTGGACCGCTTCATCCTTAAGGCCCTGGACCGACATTGGCACAGCAAGTGTCTTAAGTGCAGTGACTGCCACATTCCTCTAGCGGAGCGCTGCTTCAGCCGCGGGGAGAGTGTCTACTGCAAAGACGACTTCTTCAAGTAAGCTGGCTGCTGACTGGAAGGGGGCATGGCTGGCAGAAGAGAGGCTGGGAGGGCGCTCCATGACAGGTCTGTACCCAGACAAGGCATCCTGGGACCTGTCCAAGCTCAGGACGTTTTAAAACAATTTTTTTAAACGTGTATATGTAAGTGCCTGCGTGTACACATCAAGCACCATGTGCTTGCCCGGTGCCCTCGGGAGAGTGAAGAGAGCATCGGATCCACTGCGACGGAAGTTATAGATGTTTGGGAGCTGCCATGTGGGTGCTAGGAACAGAACCCAGACCCTGTGCAAGAGCAGCCAGCCTTACGGAAATCTCCAGCCCCAGCAGTACAGTTTAGAGTAGTTTGTTTTGTAAATCATGAAAGCAGTTGTCAGGTTAAAAAAAGATTAATCCAAATTTGTAGAATTGTATGAGAAGTACTCCCTCTTAAAATATGTTTTTTGTTCCTTAAATATCTGGGAAGTGGGAAGCCGGGGCTTCTCGGGCCGGAGGAACTGACCCAGGTAAGGCTGTGGCCCTCTAGATCCGTCTTTTCCAAGGCAAGGGGCAGGCTCCGCGACCGAAGGTGCGGGGGCTCTGCCCAGGCGCAGGGCTGCCGGAGCCTGCGGAGCGCCGGGCGCTGGCGCTCGCTGCTTGGCGACCCGCTCTGAGCGAAGGAGCCGCTCCGCTGAGCCGCGCCCTGTGCATCCCGCAGGCGCTTCGGGACCAAGTGCGCTGCGTGCCAGCTGGGCATCCCGCCCACGCAGGTGGTGCGCCGCGCCCAGGACTTCGTGTACCACCTGCACTGCTTCGCCTGCGTGGTTTGCAAGCGGCAGCTGGCCACAGGGGACGAGTTCTACCTCATGGAAGACAGCCGGCTGGTGTGCAAGGCGGACTACGAGACAGCCAAGCAGCGAGGTCAGTGGGCGGGGGTGGCCTCACCTCCGCGCCGGAGGCTGGGGCCGGGAATCGGTCTGGTGCTGGGAGGTAGGGCGACCTGAAGCCCCAGGCCCTGAGCAGGCTGCTCCGGGGGCCTACCGTAGCAGAGGAGCCGGCGGGAGTCGGAGGTTGCCGGCTTGGGGAGAATCAGCAGCCCAACATCCATGACCATGAAGACCTGAGTCACACAGACTCAGCCTACGGGGGTCGAGGACCACGTCTGGCCAGGCGGGTTCCCAGTTTGGAGCCCACCTGCCGGCGAGAAGCTAGCGGGGCCGCCGGCGGCCTTTGCCCGGGAGCCAGGGAGCCACGAGCGTCCGGGGGCGACGCGGGCTCGGGGTGTCGCGCGGGGCGCAGGCCGGGGCAGCCGGACCCGGCTGGACGGCCTCCGCGTTCGTCCCGCACAGAAGCCGAGGCCACAGCCAAGCGGCCGCGCACCACCATCACCGCCAAGCAGCTGGAGACGCTGAAGAGCGCCTACAACACTTCGCCCAAGCCGGCGCGCCACGTGCGCGAGCAGCTCTCCTCCGAGACCGGCCTGGACATGCGCGTGGTGCAGGTCAGCGCCCCGCCGGCCGCGCCCCCCGGCCCGCGGGCCGCGAGGGTCCAAGGCGAGCCGGGCGGCCGCTCACTGTCCCCGCCCTCCAGGTGTGGTTCCAGAACCGCCGGGCCAAGGAAAAGCGGCTGAAGAAAGACGCAGGCCGGCAGCGCTGGGGACAGTATTTCCGCACCATGAAGCGCTCCCGCGGCAGCTCAAAGTCCGACAAGGACAGCATCCAGGAGGGACAGGACAGCGACGCTGAGGTCTCCTTCACTGGTAAGTCCACTCGCTGTGGGCAAGGACTCTCGGGCTGTCTTCCTGGGGAGGACCTGCCTTGGCCCTCAGGCTCCCATCCTCCGCTGTTCTTGCGGCAACCCGCCCAACTCCGGAATTCTACAGACAAAGCTTCTTGGAGCTAGACAAAGAAGAAACTTCCACCCTCGTCTTGGGACCCAACACTTATTTTCTACACCAGGAACACCGCTCACACCCCTAACACCCAGCTCTGTTTGGGGCTGTGTTGTAACCTCGGGTTAGCAGCACAGCCTCTGGAGCCCTAAAGTTCCTCATCTATGCCTCCCAGCGTTGCCCTATCCTGGGCTCTGACTTGGGTAGCAAGCCTCTCTGATCTGAGATCAAAGCCTTCCTTCAAGGGTGCAGCTGAATGGGCTCTTGCGGCTCTGCATAGAGGGGCAGAGAAGAGACTGTTGCTGACCCATTAGTTCTTGTAGTTCTTGTACGTAGGATAGTTTCCCCTGCTCAGCCATGGTAGGACATTACAGGATCCTCAGAGGGGTGAGCGTCTCATCCCAGCTTTCTTTTCTATTGCAGATGAGCCATCCATGGCGGACGTGGGGCCTGCAAACGGCCTGTACAGCAGCCTCGGAGAGCCCACCCCTGCCTTAGGCCGCCCTGTAGGAAGCCTGGGCAGCTTTGCCCTGGAGCACGGAGGCTTGGCAGGTCCAGAGCAGTACCGAGAGCTGCGGCCAGGCAGCCCCTACGTCATCCCCCAATCCCCTGCAGCCCCCCAGAACCTTCCTGGCCCCCAGCCTCTCCTCTCCAGCCTGGTATATCCAGACGCCAACCTGGGCCTTGTACCTTCAGGGCCCCCAGGTGGGCCCCCGCCCATGAGAGTGTTGGCTGGAAATGGACCCAGCTCTGATCTGTCCACGGAGAGCAGCGGTGGTTACCCAGACTTCCCTGCTAGCCCTGCCTCCTGGCTGGATGAAGTAGACCATGCTCAGTTCTGACGGAGGCCCCTAATTTCCCTGGCTCTAACTCAGGGGTCTTGGTGCTGCCTCTGGGTGGGTAGCTAGCCCTACCCAATGCTGTCCACTGCAAGGACCTCTAAGGGAAGGACAGGGTTCTCAAGTGAGAGACTAGGGGCTGCTCCACCTTCAGGCCCCCTGGCCCCTCCCTGGGGCTGAGGTGCTCCATGGCCCTTCCTTGGACACAAGAGTGGCCTGCCTGGTGGCTGTCCACAGGTCAGTGACTCTTGACCACATTTTGTAAGCATTTCTCTTCAGAGTCCTTGCTGCTGTTTGAGACAGGGCAGGAGGCCAGACCTTAATGTCCTGGCATAAAACAATAGTAACAACTTGCTTCATTGCTTCTGATGGGCTTGGTAAGGGCTCATACTTGTGTTCTCCTGGACCACTGACTAACCCAGGGAGCAGAGGTCTCCTCCCAACTGCCGGCTCTCCCTCCCTGGAGTCTTCAGATCTTTCTGCTCTGGCATTCACTGAGGAAGTAGAGCTTTCTGGAGCCCCTTCTCCAAGGTGTCATCTTCAAACATGAGCGCAGTTCCCCCTCTCCTGAGGCACAGCCTTGCTCAGGGGCAGAGCAGAATTGTGCACCAAGGACAGATACCATTGCCAAACAGACTGTGGTCCTGTGCAGGAGCGGGATGATTCTGCCAGCCCAGACTGGGCGGTCTCCCCCATGGGAGGAGGCTGGGCTGGGGGTCCTCCCAAATGACTCTGTCTCAGACCCAAAGCTTGGCCATGTGTAAGTTGAAATCATTCCTGAAAACCAGTAACTTGGCTACCTGTTGGTTCTGTAAATGTCCCATGACTTTTATTTATTCCCTGGTGACCCACTCTTTCCAAGACTTCAATAAATTTGTCAGTTTCAGTGCGAGAAGGCCTGTGTCTTTAGTGAGCCTGGAGGGTCCAGCTGCTGGGGTAGAAGATGTCCTTTCAAAGTCCAAGTGCAGTGATGTCTGAGGGACCATGACTGCCGAGACTAGCCCCTGGTATGAATTTGGCTTCTGTTCTCTTTTTTTTGTCTAGACTACTGAGCCCTGGAAATAGGCATGGGATTGACTGTCCATTCGTGGGAGGTTTGAAGGGGAGACTAGGGTCTCTACCATCCCAGGCTGGGGAGGGAGATGTTCAAGGGGCCACCCAACACAGCAGGGTGTGCCATGAGGAGGCTCCAGAATGACTCTACAGTTTGGATTCCAGCCAGTCCTAACTGCCCTGCTAACTTGCTGTGTGACGCAGGGCCTGTGGCTTGACTTCCGTGAACCCTACACAGAAATGGAGCCTTTGAAAGAGATACCTAAAGCAGGGGTCAAGGCAGGTTCACCAGCCTGCCGGGTTGTGTTCAGCAGAAAGAGGCAGCAACCGTGCTAGGAACACTCCAGCCTCTGCAGGGAGGAAGTGCTGACCTTTCCTGAGGGTCTCCCTGCGGGAGGATGGGAGTCCGGATAGGCCCTTGATTCTCAAAGGAGGAGGCAAGGCTGGTGGCTGGTATGAGGCCCGAGCTTGGCTTTCACCACTACAGAAAACTGTTGGTGCAGCTAAGGGCAGCTGCTTGAAACTGGGGAAGCTGCTCCCTTGCTCCTCATCTCCCTGGAGCTTTGAGTCTCCAGAAGAGAAATCAGTTGAGTGATGGGCTGTCATTCCTGGGCGTTTTCAGGCACCCCGTGGATGTCTCCAGCACCCACCCTTTATACTAAGAAGACAGCCCAGGCCCAGGGAAAAGAAGGGAGGGGGAAGGGGACTGCTTGATAGAATTGGGCCAAAAGGGCAGAGAGGAATGAACATTAGAGGACTGGCCTGCGGTCTTCACTGAGCCTTCACAGACTGTAGTGAGCCAGGACTGGGAATTCTCATCACTGAGTTCCTGAACTCTGTCTCCAGACCCTCCAGTCCACTGATCCACAGGCTGCTGCCCACGGGGAGACTGAGGCCCAGAGGGGGAAGGGCTTATCCTTGTGGGGCACCTGCTGTGGTAAAAGAAGGAGTCCTGCCCAGCTCCACTCCCCAGCCCTGCAGCTCTAGCCTGAACTGCCTGGGGCTTGGGAGAGAAAGAGTCACCAGCCACCCAGCAGAACAGGTGAGCATGAAGGCTCCCTCTTCCTTGCCCCCAGACAGGTTTCTCTGTGTAAACCAGGCTGTCCTGGAAACTTGGTTTGTAGACCAGGCTGGCCTCAAACTCAGAGACCTGCCTGCCTCTGCCTCCCAAGTGCTGGAGTTAAAGGTGTACATCACCACCTCACCAGGCTTGAAAGGGCTTTTAGGGAACTATAGATGGCCTGGGAAGGAGCTATACAAATTCCTGGGATCTACAGGGCAAGGCAGAGGGACAGTGCTGGCCTGAGGGAGCATGTTGTGCAAAGGGCAGAGAAGTGAAGTGGAAGAGATGAATTTGAATTCTTTTAGGATGATGACCACTGAAGAGACAGCAGCCCAAAGCCCAGGTCTGATTCAGATTTTGGGGAAAGGATAGATAAATGTGGCTGTACTCAAGTACAGACCCTCAAGCCCCGCCTACCTGGCCAGCCTACAGACCCTCCCCCAGACCACTTGGGACCTTTTAGGCTTTGACAGGTTAATGAAGTGCTAAGCGTCCCCTCGGGGGCCCTCCTCCCGTCTGCTGAGCCCCACTGCCTCTCTCCAGCTGGCCTTGTCGATAACTTTAGTACCGGTGAAGCAGGCATAGGGGTGGTGCTGAGGGCAAACAACTGAGGTGGGGCCCATTTATGCAGATCCTGAGAGTGCTCATTTAAGTAATCTCAATCTCGATTGCCTCAATTTCCCTATCTGAACAGCCCTATCAGAACTGCTATCTAATTATCCCTCTCAGGCCTCAAAAGCCTGGAGGCTAGTGACTGTCTGCTCCCCTCCCCATTTTCATCCAACAGCAGCAATTTGAATGCAGACTCAGGTCTCACATCTAAACCCCGACTCACTCAGTCAGCCCAGCAGGTGTCCAGAGAGGTTCCAAACCTGAGGTGGTGAGGTAACTTGGGCGGTCTTCAGGCCCTGTTGGGGTGATGCCCTGCCCCAGAATTTCAGTTGGCATAGATCTGCAAGAATCCCCTGTGATCGTGCAGTGTGTAAGGCATTTATTTGAAATTTCCCGGGACTGCCACGGAGGAGCAGCAGACTCCAGGGGGTTAGAATACCCTTCAGGAAGAATTACTACAGACCGGGACTAGCCTGAGGAAATGCAAAGAGTGTGCAGGGTCCTCCATCCCTGCCTCCGGTTTGAATGGACGTCTTGATTGATCACAGAGACGCCCCTGCTTAAGGATGGCGTGGGTCAGCCCAGTGCCCATCTGCTCATCAGCCAGCAGGGGAGTCCCACAGGCTTTGGTGGGAACCTCAGAGGGATGGTGGGGGTGGCCTGAGATCACTTGGGCATTTAACTTTCGACTCTAGCAACTATACCGTATCTTTAAACAGAAGAGCCCAAATGATTAAAAAATAATAAAAGCAGATTTTACCTACAGGTTTGGTGGCACTAGTACTTGGGAGGCTGAGGCATGAGGATCAGGAGTTCAAACCCAGTTCTGAAATTAGCACGAGCCATGTAGGGCCTTGCCTAAAAGGGCCAGGGCCATTTAATTTCAACTAACAAACACATTTAAAAAAAAAAAAAAAGCTTTTTTTCTTTTATATGTAAAATTCATACTCAGGCTCTTATGACTTAGGACCCCTTCAATCTAGGGCACCTGGGGACACACTCCTCCCCTTTTTCCCTCCCTACCATCTGTCCTGGATCAGCCCCCCAGGCTGCTCTAGAGGGGTACATGGGGGAGAGTCCAGCTCCAGGGCTGGCCCTGTGGAGTAGCCTCCTCGATAAATCAGAAGGGTTTCAAAGGTTCCAGCGTGGAGTGCTGAATCCCAGGGGCTGTAATGATCAATTCTTTGAGCCCATAATTGTTCAAATTACTCTGAGCAACATAAAACATTAATTTTAGGAAATTTAATAGAAAAAAGCTCTTTAAATCCACAGAGAGATAAATGACACCAGTATGGCCACCTTCTTCCATACCTTGGTGACATTGAATGATCTGAAAGCTATTTACATTTTCATTCTCTGTGGAAAGTGTTGACAAGCTTTTGGCCACTGGTGAGGTCCACTGCAGCATGGGAGGGCCCCTCCCCCCTAATTAATAGGGGAGCAGTGACTTCATAAGTGGAGTTTTCATCCATCTGCCTGGGCGACCTCAGGTGATGGCTCCCACCCTCCTGAAGCAGATGCAACTGCAGCTCATTTTTTACCATAAAAATATTCCGTCCTGACCAGTGAACCCCCTCTTGGCATTTCCAAATCAGGTGTGACACCAGCAAGCAGCTGCCATATCTGGGCATTTGGGTAGAGTCCAAGACCAGACTTGAGAAAAGTCCAGCTTCTGCAGCCTGCAGGGGCAGTGGAAGTTGAGTTGTCCTGACAGATTCCACCCAGCCAGAGTCCTCAAGTGTGTGAATTCTCCTTGCACTGTGTGTATGGTGGGTAGGGGCAGGGGCGGTGATGAGATATGACAGGCATTTCGGCAAGGCTGTAGGAGCCAGGCATCGTCAAGCTGAGGCTGGCTAGATGGGGCACAGGGGTGGGCTGCCCCGGGTGCTCTACAGGTCCCGTAGGAGGCCTGTTATTGAGGAGCTAATAGAGCTGAACAGGAAGCAGAGGCTGAAACAGTGAGCTGGTCCCTCCTCAGGCAGCTCTTCACTAGTTGCAGGGTGTGACCTTGGGACTGCTTTTCCCAGGGGTGGGGCTAGGAGCAGACTCGAGATCAGGATAAATCCTGGAACAGGAGAGGAAGTAGGAGAACTCTGGGGAGTCTTTAGCTCTAATCGCAGCTCACTTTTAGCCAGCTCTGAGGCCTGGCAGTCGCAGGCCCCTCTTTGAGCCTCAATTGCCTTAATCTAGCCCCAGGCCTCAGGAAAATGCAAATCAGGCCCCAGCAAGACACCAGTCCTGGTGGGAGTTGTACCTCAAAGGTTTTAGCACTCTT